GAAGTGTCCAGTGTTCCGCTCTCAGTTTTTTGACCGTTATGAATGTACCATCCGGGTATTGCTTGGCTTTGAACTTAAAACAATAGTTGTCAGTGTGAATGCACTTTTGCACTCAAAACAAGAAGTTTAATAATGGACTGGGGAAAATTGAGACACAGCAACACATAAAAGCTAGTATGCGAACCTTGACTTGATATTTTTTACTTTGTCAAACTATATTTCAAGATTGGAAACTTCTCGATCCCATGCAAGAAAATCAAAGATTTTTAATATTCAATATTAACAGATTAGCGCATACATTTCTTATACAAATTTTCTTTGTGTGTGGATTCTACCTCTGTGCCTCCTGGATTTTCATTGTCCTTTCTCCTCAATGTATGATTGTTTTTTTTTTTGCTGTGGTTTTCTAAATCTGTTTGGAAGAGAAAAGGGTTAGTTGGCGTGTTTTTTTTCTGCCATGAGTGCTACTAAAAACATGTATAGTAAAAGTGTTGGAACACTACCTCTGTACAGCAGCATGGTAGGACTGGTGAGTTTATGCTTTGTGCCACGCTGTGCAAAAAACATTAGGACAGGAAGGAAGAAGTGCGCATGCCAGCATCAGGGAGAAAACAAGATTAGGGGTTAGACAAAACATAGGTCCACTTCCCCCTGCAGCCTCTGTACAGCAGGCAACCCGTTATTACTGCTGGTTTGTAGGAACAGGATTCATTACCAGGACACAGGACTCAGGAGAGGCTGCCTGGATAAACACTCTTACAGCCATTACCACCAGTCTGCCCCCGCCATCTCTATCTGGCTTGAGTTACAGTCATCCTGGTCTGTGGTCGGTACACAGATGTTAAAACTATCTTACCTCTTTCACGACGGCCCAAAGCTCTTGTCCTAACTAAGGGAGAAAGCAGCTATTACTCAATGTCATGTATTAAGAGGATGACTGTCAGTATGGGCAGGATGGCTGAACATTTGTTTTACTCTGCAGATAACCATAGTCATCAGATTTTCCATATAAATGCTGTTTTATATTCACTAACCTAACAATTTATTCAAACCTCTTAAGCTTTTTATTTTCCTCTTAAATGTCCCCTTAATTTAGAAGCATCAGTATCTCTCAGTAAGGGCCAGGTTTTGGCTCAGTTTCTACAAATTATGTATTCACATTTTCAGTATTTGTACTATTCCAGGCAGCCATTGATTTACATTCATTACTGTACAGTTTGAAATTCAATTGGCAGAATCATAATGAACATCACGTTACATTATAGCTGTATGTTAATGCAGTTTTAAGTGGACATCATTTAAAAAGTCTGCACTAGGTTACATCATAATGATAACTTTGACAAAGTGAATGCAGACTTGAGGTTCACTGTGATGGATTTCACAACTAAGGTTTCAACCATCGGCTGAAAGGCTTTTGTACTACGCTTAAGACACAGAAACAAGTAGATATCTGGAACAGCAAATTTCTATAACACAGTTAATTGCAAACTTGCTAGCTGTAAAGTGTATGTGATTTGTAGTTAATGTGCTGAACATGAAAAAGGCCTGGTATGGTCCTTTTTTAAGAGTATGACAGTATGGTATACATCATTCAGAAACACTGTATTGAATCTACGGGATTCTCGCTGAAGGATTTTGTGGCAGCACTTTTACATCTAACTGATTATAAATATGTATATATATGCATAATTTTATACAAAATTCAGCCTGACACAAAAATTTATCCACAATTGTCTTAGTCCTCTACCTCTTTGCTGGTCAGTGACATGGACCAATCAATGTCAGTTTGTGTACAGTCTTTTGGCTGATCAAACACAAGAGAAAACAAACAGGTGACCTACTAATGGGGCTTTAACTACACGCTGCATCTCCTCCATTGAGAAACAAGTCAGCAGTGTTTATGAAGAGGAGGCTAGAGCAAATACACAAAAACCTTTCCAGCACAACAGGGCAGGAGAGTTCAGCCTGCTTTCTATTTCCTGGTATGACAGTGTTTATACCTGGAGGAAATGGAACACAAAACACAATAAAAGGAATTGGTCGTCACCTTTTTATGAACCAAAAGGAAATGTGTCAGACTTGCATGCACTCAAACACTGGTAAATTTACCTTTATCTTTATTTTGTAGATTTTTACCTCATTTAGGTGCCATGGATGCATAACCAACATTTAGGTACATGTAGCACATGACATGTTTTAAATCCGTAATTCTGGAAGGAATAAAGTGGATGGGTTTTTATCTTGAGAGGCAGAAATGGCATTTGAGAAGCACAACAGATTTGGCATTTTCTCTGCAGTTATGTGAAACAAATCCGTTATACATAAATTAAACCACTAGCTAAATATTTATCAGGGATCCAAGGCAAAGCCATATAATTACACAATTCTCCATGATCTTGAATAATTTCATGGCATTAAACAAATTTAGTTATTGTCATCCATTAGCAACTTTTTACAGTTTTACACTGCCTGTCATGTAACCCTTCATTTTTCCATTTGACTCATTAAGTGTTGCTTACCTGCAACTCTTAATTTCACCTGCCTTCAATAAGCACGTCAGAACTCATTCACAGCTGGATACTGGTTTGAATTGATAATGATTGTTTTGCACCTCAGGTTGACAGGCAAAG